CATATATAGACATATAGACATATATAGACATATAGACATATAGAAAAGCAAAGGGTGGTCTTGTAGGGTTGACCCAATCACCTGACCAAGTAGCGGGCTAGATACTGTCCTATCACATCTGCAACATGGTTTCTTTGTCCATGTAGATGTAAATATAAACACAGGTAACACACACACAAGGAAGAAGGCAAAGCACGACAGAAGCTTGATGCTAATGACAGGCAAAAGATAAGAGACGAACTACAAGAGCATCACATCCACTGAAGTGCGAAACTGATAGAGTAGTAAACATCGTCAATGGACATGTAGCTTCCGAAAAAGGTGAATGTGCACGATGCTGTTGCTATTGGGGAGACGATGGTTTCTAAGTTTAGAGCTAAACTACCAGCTGGCTTTCACGAGCTTTTGAAAAAAAGAATCTTCACAATGGAAACAACCTAGAAAAGTGTAAAGTTGGGTGATAAAAAATGTACGACATGGAGAACCTTTATGTCCGCATGCTTGTTGTAAGTCAGAAGAGACAAATGCGATTGCAACAATTGTTCAGATATAAGCTTGCCCCTGTGCTATTCTGTCTGTTTGATAAGTATGGAGACCTGAGAAAGGGCAATAAAACAAATCTTGTTGCAAAACTTGCAGTGCATACTTCTTGGTCGATTAAACCAGATGTCTAACTAGTAGATTAAAATGCTATGATGTATCACATCTTGTGGCAAAAGAACAGTTGAACAGTTTGCTGAGTCTTGCCAGAAAGCGCTAACCAGGGATCACGATGTGTACATGATATTTGACCATTATCATGATGGCTCCGTTAAGTCTCATGAACGGGACAGGCGCTATGCGGTTGCTGGAGCAACTAAACTCAAACTGACACCAAACACAGTTTGGCCACAACGAGAAATTGTGATGAGAAGCGAGCACAATAAGAAGAAATTAATTGAAATGATATGCCCGCGGATGAGCTGCTGCTTCCCATTCATGATAGGAGAAAACCAGTGCCTGTTTGACCATGAAGAAGCCGATGTGATCCTTGTGAGTTGCAGGCTGCATATGATTAGGCAGCAAAGCAATAGGAAAATCCAGATCATCTGCGATGACACAGATATGGATACACTTATGTACTTCTACTGAAAGAACAAGCTATCAGCTCAAATTACAATGAAGAAGTTTGATGGCCAAATTATCGATATCAATGCTTCTGCAAATAAACTTGATGGCAGCTCTTACCTCTGCATGCTTCGACAGGACGTGGCACAGTTTCGTGTCCTTACCGTGAGGGAAAGGTGACAGCTCTCAATGTATTGATGAATCATGCCAATCTATGATTAGACATTAATGGTGATCGTGATACACGAGTAGATGATTGGATTGAGACCGGCGAAAACTTATACTGTCTTTTATATGGTGCCAGACAGCGTATAAGCATGAATGCTTTACGATATAAGCTCTTTAGCATGAAAAAGAATTCTTCTATCATGTCATTGCCACCAACTGATGACGCCTTTGCTGAACATATGAAACGTGGTCACTTACAGGCTATGATTCGGAAGACTGCCAGGTCCACCAAACGTAGATATTTCAATCTATGGTTGGAAACTTCTTGAAGGCAAACCTCATCCCACTTTTGGAAATACAGCAGTTGCACCTCCAGACTCATGAAAGTTGTTGCTTGCAGATATGCCTCAAACAAGCCATGACATACTGGAAAGTGCAGTTGTAAGGATATTGGATTGTCATGCACATCATTCTGTAAATGTGAGGCTGCATTATGATAAGTGTCACAATGAACACACTGCTAGACATGTTTCTAGTGATCAATCTGAGATGCATACAGGATAGTGGCAGTTCAGGTAAACTTTCTATATCAGAAGATTCACACCTGAATTGAAGGTGAGATGTGTAAATGTATAAATGATAGCTGATGTATAATGTATTTATATTAGAACATATTGCGAATTTTAGTGATATAATCATTACATAATTGTGTGCTAAGACCCAACTAACATTTAAATGTCTCATATAGAGACAATTTGAAATGTACATGTGTAATAGACTAGCAATCTATGGCTTCGCTGACAGTTTGTGGTGGCCATTTTGCCATTTTGAATACTTGGCTTCTGATCGTATGCAAACTCCACGACAGATGGCGCTCTCGCTCGCTCTGGCAATGTTGAATCCTGATTGTACGAAGGGGGCGCTGCATGCAGTTCGGATCGTATGTTGTGGGTGTAATTAGTCTAGGATTGTGCATGACTGTTTAATGAGAAAAGCAATACCAAATGTTTGAGGATTGACCTATTATTACAGAAGTTATTGCAAGTTTAGCATACCGACCCCCTTAATTTATACGCACTCAAATGCGAAAATATACGATCTGCATTTTTTGTGATAAAAAAATTGCCCAAGGTTGCCAAAGTGGCACCCGGTGGATTCCGGTTCATGATAGTCTAAAGATCAGGAAACCACAAAAAACCTTGTATATACCCGATTGCAACGTTCTGTCATTTGGCAACCCGACTGTACCCGTTTTCTAGAATATGTGAGTCTGCCCATGTGTATATACTACCCAGAAATTCCGCCTGTTCCGAAGGCTTGTTTTCATACTCTTCGTTTAAAAAAGATGGCGCTTCGCGTACGTTGTCGTTGCCTTATAAAAGTAAACAAATTAAGCCACTGATCCCATAAATATTGCACTGCCGGTGCACAACACGCAAATTCACTGATTTCATCCGAAATACGACTGGTATATATTCATATTTATTTTATATAGGCCTATAGGTAATATTTATATTTATTTACTGGTCATAAGGCTTTAGCGTAAACCTTTTACGAAAACCAAGACATTACGGAAACCAAATGATAGATTTTTGAGGAAAGTTGTATTCATACACATAAAAAGCTGTATTTACACATGTTTATTCGCCGCGTATGTGGGTATAAAATTCCGCGCATTTTGAAAATATAGCCATAGGATTTCATAGGAATATGTGGGATGTAAAAATGTAATCTGGTTTCCCGTCACTTTATATATATATATATATATATATATCAAGAGTTCATAATAGAAAATCTCCATTTCTAATTTTCTATTATGGACTCTTATATATATATATATAGCTGGAGGCATCTCGGCATCCTGATTCCGTTCCCGACCTGGTGTCCGGGGAGGCCCGCCGAGCACGGAGACGCAGGGAGAGTCTTCACATACTCACCGGCTCCTTCCAGACTAAGATCGAGCGGCGGCTTCCCATGGAGGCGATCGTTGCCGCGAAGGCCAAGCAGTAGTAAGTCAGCATCGTACGAACAGACAGACGTATGCACGAGTTTAGATGTGTGTTCGCGAGTTTACAATTAAGTGCGAGTCTCTGCATGCTTCAGAAGTGGCGTTGATATACAACGGCGTTAATGAACGGTGCTAAATTCGCGTAGCCGAACAGTAGCAGTGGATAGTTGTGTGGGGGATGAGGGATAGAGAGGGGGAGAAAGTGTGAGAGAGAGAGAGAGAGAGAGAAAGAGAGAGAGAGCGAGAAAGAGAGAGAGGGAGAGGGAGTGAGGGATAGAGAGGGAGAAAAGAGAGGGAGAGAGAGAAGAGAGAGAGAGAGAGAGAGAGAGAGAGAGAAAGAAAGAAACAGAGAAGAGATGAAGAGATAAGCTGATCATCCTTATTGCTGAAACGCTCATCTGCTATGCTCATCTGCTATGCTCATATGTGACTTGCTCAATGTTGTGTAGTGGGATTTGTGATTATTAAAATTTAATAGTCTAGGCGTTTTTAATAAAAAATAATGCTTTAATATCATCGGTCGAAATTGTTTATATAATTGAGTTGCAATTTCACAATTTCAACTGAATAATATAGCGATCGATCTCATGCAATAGTAATTCAGTGATAATCTACAACGTTCAGTTCTTATCTTGTCTAATACATCTGAAATTAAATATTGAGAGTTTTTGCTCAGTCTTGGGGAGATATTCGAACCTGCAGAACTTCAGCGGAATTTACGAGCATTTATGGCTCTTAAAAGTTTTTGTTTTGTTTAGAATGCTGGGTGTGTGCTTACGTCACATATTTTCCGCAGCCACATATATATTTATTATCAAGAGCTAATAAACACCACAACAGCCACACCGAGTCTGCGGGGAGGTAAATATAGTGTATAACAGCTTTTACTTGTATTTTCACCTCAATTCTTGCCTTTTTGCTCCGGAGTACAAAGTCTGGAAGCAGACGTTTTTCGTTGGTTCTTACAAAGAGATAAATAAACCGGCGTGAATTGGTGCGTGTACGCGCACATATGCGCGTGTAGGTACAGCTGTGTGCGTTAAAACACTCGCTCGATCACGCCGCCTTCTAAAAATACATTCACCCTTGTCTCCTAGACCCATTTATTTATTTAGAATGTGGCGCGTGTACGATTCGTTTATAAATTTTCAGTAAAATTCTGTCTTTGTTGACGCAGAGCATGGGAAAATGTTTGCGTAAAAGTATAGGTCATCAACCTGGCAGGCGCGCATATCATATAAATTCTCCCCTGCAGGCGGACGCGAACATTTGTATTATGAACGCCCGCATTGGCAAGTAAATAAGTGTTCGTAGCTACAGCTATAGCGGTTCCTGTGGCAACCGCGTGCGGGCGTATCAGGATTTATAGCGCAGTTAATTACTAGTGCTACGTTCTCAACGACACGGCAATTGAGAAAGCCAGCTTCCCATGGAAATAATTTCAGCCGTGGAAGCACGCGTACATTCACGTCTTTTCCACTAGGTGGTAGCTTGCTAATTACATCGTGACATCAGTTAGTACGTGTGTTACCTGTGTACACAACGTGCACTGACGATCACATGTTTTCACCTATGTTTTCATGTGCACCTAAACCCTGATGTGCTCTTGATGCTATGGAAACGATATTGCTCTTATGTAATACAGCCTGTATCACACACACGCACACGCGCGCGCGAGCGCACGGACGCATTTGCGCATGATATATCAATATAAATGTAATAAATGTAATATAAATGTAATAA